TCACAGGATAGAGCCATGAAAGCTTCCCTTGGCAGATGCCAGAGAGAAACAGTAAGAATGGGGCCTGTAGACAGAAAATCCCAGAAGGGTAGGCATGGACATGAAGTAGTTATGACTGCTTTTTTTTCTTCTTCCAAGGCAAGCAGTTGAATTCCTTAGCAGTGAGGGACATATCTACTCCACTGTGGATGATGATCACTATAAGTCTACAGATGCTGAGTGAAGCTATTTCCACCTGGATTTGATTCTAAACAAAAGCTTGTCTGTGCTTCAAGTTACCCTGCCAATCTTTGCAACGTGGAAGGTGATCTTTGCTCTTTCTAGCCCTTGAAAGTTGCAGTTATTCTGACTGCCTGCTTTGTCAAATTCAAGGAAAAGCAAGATGTACAGAATTCTGTTGACTCAGTTACTGTGCAGCAGACAGGTGGTTGAAAGCATAAATAGATATGGGAAAAACGGAACTCTTCAAAGCTTTGGAGCCTTCACTTTGTGTTTTATGTTTCCTAGTAGAGTGCCTGGATTAGAAAGGAGAACGTCTTTCTGATCTTGTCATGGGCAGGTCGTCTTTTTTTTTCTGGAGTAGTTTCTCCTAACTCAGCTTTCATTCCATTTCATTCACAAAGTGGGTAGCCAATGCTGCAGTAACCAAGACTAGATTTTTTGATTAGTTTAGTCTGTGTATTTAAACCTATATTTGTACTACAAGAGGATCTTGTTACTGAAGCTTTTGAATATTTCCAATAAAATTTTAACTTGGGTAGTCTTGCATGTGTTTGTGGCTCTACAGGCTTTTGTTCTTTTCTAAAGCAGGAAAACCATCTACATTGATAAAACTTAGCCATATGGGTGAAAACACAGCATGTGCTTTCACCTAATTTATTTGTTTTTAACTGTCTTTTTTTTCTTTAGGTTTTGAAATAAATTAAAAGGTTAAACTAAGGTGACTCTCTGGACACTAAGCAATTAAAGAATTCTACTACTGAAGGGAGTTACAAGTTGCATCACTGGGTTCCAAAAACAGCCAGAATAATTTTTCTTAATATAAATGCTTCAGCTCAAGCTAAAAAGTATCATATCCTGTGGAACAAGATTTGTGTTTTAAAGCTATTTAAAAAAAGATAATAAAAACACTGCAAGTTAGGAAAAAAACAGTAGTAAAATTGGTGATGCATGTATGATAACGAATTTGCATTTCCTCTTTCTTTGCATGATGCTGCCTCATTCAGGGAAGTGGCACTTTTTGAGGGCAGCTGCTTCAGAATATCTCTGTCCTCTTAGTTGCTATGTGTTTCATGTCTTATCAAATGCAGTGCTGAAAACTACCTCATGGGAGTTGATTTACATTCATTAATGGTAGCGTTTGAGAAGCTCATAAATATCCAGGAGTATTTGTCACAACGACCCCTTCAGGAATGTAGCAGCCTTCCCCAGAGGAACCATGGTTTCTGTGGCAAACATGTTTAGCGTTGCTGAAAAGCAGGGCCTGGGATCTCTCAAGCTGAGCGCTGAGAAACTGAAATGCACCCGGTGCCCACTAGATGGGAGCCTGGTTTTCTGTACTGCACTGATCCATCATTTGAGAATTGCCTATTCTGTGTCCTGCAGGACAGGTGGCCTGCTGGAAAAACTGCATGTGTGTTTAGGCACTCGTTCTGCATTCTTACGAGCTAGGCAAGCTTGGGTTTCACATGAGCTGCAAATCAGATTTCAGTGTAGGTTTTGGTGTTATCTGAGACTAATGAAGTGACCTGACTTTGAAAAAGCAATTCCCAGTCTGCATGTATGTGGGACTGACTTTGCTATCTAGTGCATTTGTTTGTTATTTATGCTGTAGCAAAACCAGTATATCCTGTTCAGGTTCAGATAGCAGTACAGCTGTATCCAGTGATGTATTTCTGGGGCTAAATTGTACTATAGATGTGTAACGGATAAACTTTCGTGCTATGGAAACTAGTGAATCTAGAAATCGAAAGTACTATAATTGCCATTTTGCAGGAGGTGTGCAGTTTAGGAAGCAAAACTCTGATCATTTTTGGAAGCTAAAATAAGTAAAATGGAGAGTAGTTGTGGGACTGTACAGAATGATTATGTGTCTGGAGAGTAAAATGTTATCAGCTGGGGAGGAGGCTTAATTCTTTGCTTAATTACCCATTTGCTGTTTCTTAAAGTATCCAAGAGTACCTGCTTTTGTCTGGCTGCTGGGAGGATTTGGAATAAGGCTTGGATCTGTCAGGGGGAAGAACTGTTGGCTCTTTTGCAAAAAGTTTGATTTGGCGATCTTACTGAAATTGGATCAAAACTCAGGGGATGCTTTTGGTCCTAATAAAGGAGACGAGAGGAAATACTTGGACGTTTTCAGTTGTTCTCATTTTCCTGCTCTCCTGTTCCTTCTCCCTGTCTGGAGCCCATCTTCTCCCTAGCCATAGTTCAAGGACTAGTTTTTTTTCTGGGACAAGGGAAAATGTTCCTGGAGTTGTTTAAATGCCTCTTGGCCACTAGCACTGGTCAAAGCTTTGTACTTACGTACGTATTGCGGTCGCAGGGCCATGATCTCATTGCAGTGACAGAGACATGGTGGGATAGTTCACATGACTGGGATGCTGTCATGGATGGCTATGTGCTTTTTAGGAAAGACAGGCCAGGAAGGCGAGGTGGTGGAGTTGCTCTTATGTGAGGGAGCAACTAGAATGTGTGGAGCTCTGCCTCGGGGTGGATGAAGAACAAGTTGAGAGCCTATGGGTAAGGATTAAAGGGCAGGGTAACATGGGTGACACTGTTGTGGGGGTTTACTACAGGCCACCTGACCAGGAGGAAGTCATCGATGAGGCCTTCTACAGACAGCTGGAAGTAGCCTCACGATCACAGGCCCTGGTTCTCATGGGAGACTTCAACCACCCTGACAGCACAGCTTGGGAAGACAGCACAGCTAGGCACAAACAGTCAAAGAGGTTCCTGCAGAGGATTGAGGATAATTTCTTGACTCAGGTGGTGGAGACGCCAACGAGGAGAGGTGCAATGCTAGACCTTGTACTAACGAACA